GGAATAGGCAGGAGAACTGCCAGAGGTCATAGCAGAGCTAAGATACCACATGAATTATTGAGGAATAATTACTTTTGCGTATATAGAAAACATATTCCAAAGTGCACGTGTCATTATGTGAGGAAGGATTTTTTTATAAAAAAAAAAAAACAAAAAACAAACTTGGACCAGAGATCTTTATATAAAACAACTTCTGGGATGTTTTTGGAGAGTCAAATTAAATGCTAGTTGTACTGTATCATGGATTTTGTGTAGAAATGGAGGTCAGGTTTAACATTTACATTTAGGTTGCTGTTTGGACCTTCACTGTTACGCTACTGCGGTACTGTGCTGTACACAGATCACCAAGATCTGGTTGCGCCCATGAATTCCTTATTGTTTCAAGAGGGTCACTTCGCCCCAGGCTTAAGATGCAGTAACTATGCATCCATGGCTACCAATTGAAGGTGCACATTATAGCAATTGATGTATCACTACTCAAAGTAGCCTGTGCCAGCTTTAAAGGTCTGGGTTGATTCTAATGGGGTACCACAAGACATGAATCATTGGGCTCATGAAATCAACAGTATCTTTTGAAAACGAGGACTATGTTTTACAAGCAGATTATTTTGATCACATCTTCATGTTTTGTATTTTAAAATTAATTGTGGATTTGCAATAACCCTGAGGAAAGTATTTTGAGTAAGTAAAAGAAACCTGATTGTTTCTTCTGATACACATGATAAAATCACATGCCTCTTCAGCCTTTGGATAGCTGAATATATTTTGATTAAGGGTTACTTTTTTATTTCGTTATTTCTTTTAACTATTTTCATACAAAATAAGAAAGAAGAGTTTCAACTTTCTATTAGAAACTGTCCTGAAGAAAATTCTTACTCCTTGTATATCACATTTATTGCAAACGTGTGTTTATGGTAGCTAAACAGCAAAAAGAAGAAAAAAAAATCCATTTGTATGTTCAAAGGCTTCTATATGTATTGTTTTGTTATATTTCAGTATTTTTTTGTGATTACAAGAAACAGTAATGCACTGTGCAGTCCTGGACTCTCCAGTACAGGTGAGATACACACTTACCGGAACAATTTTAGCACAGGACGTCAAGGATGATGAGGGAATTGGAGCATATCTCTTAGGAGGAGGGGCTGAGAGAGCTGAGACTTTTCAGCCTGGAGAAGGCTCAGGAGTGATCTCATCTGTGTGTGCAAATATCTGACAGGAGGGAGATAAGAAGTGGGAGCTTTAATGAAGTGAGTACAAATTCACCAAAGTTAGAAATGCACAGGGGTTTAACATGGCCATCTAAAACTTTATTCTACAAATAGCTGAGACATGCTATTTCTCTCCCTCCTCACAATGTGAGAATATTTTCAAGAAGATAAATAGCAAAGTGATTTTTTTTTTTTTCCCTTCATAGAAAGAGCAGCACTTTCTTTGCACACAGTAAATTGTGCCTGCCGTCTCAGTGCAGGTACAGGGCAGAGAACCATGGGGCAGCTAAGACACGAGGGTTATTGATGTGTTAGAAATCATGGAAGTGCTTGAGAACAGTCACACAGGAACTGGGGCTTCTCCCCAAAAAAAGGTGTCAGGATCAACAGCCCAACTGAAGTGCATCTGCACCAATGCCCACAGCATGGGCAACAAACGGGAGCAGCTGGAAGCCATTGTGCAGCTGGAAAACTGTGACATAGTTGCCATAATAGAAAGATGGTGGGTTGACTCACAAAACTGAAGTGCTGCAATGGATGGCCATAAACTCTTCAGAATGGGGTAGCTCTATATGTTAGGAATTTAGACACATGCAAGTCTGTGGGTCCACCCAGAGACACTGAAGGAGCTGGCAGAAGTCGTCTCTAAGCCAGTTTCTGTCACATATCAGCAGCCCTGGCTAACTGGTGAGATCCCAGCTGACTGGAGGTTAGCATATGCAACACTCTTCTACAAGAAGAACCAGAATAAGGATCTGTGGAGATACTGGTCTGCCAGTCTGACCCTAGAAAAGCTTTAGAGAAGCAATTCTACCAGTCCTGTTGCTACTTACTTGAAGTATGAAAAAATTCCTAAAACATGTCTGATTTGCTTTTGTCTATGCAGGTTGTAAATTCATGTTAAAATACATTAAAAAGCTTTGAAATAATCATTATTGACCTGTAAGCTTATGATTCTTTATAATCATTAAAATTTTGAAAAATCACTACTTAGGCTGCGATTTTATTTAACATATTTCTACCTCTCTTTAACTGTAATCCCACATAGACTAGAAATGGACAGGGTTTGATGTTTACCTGGTAGACATTTCATGTTTAGATCATTTGGAAAAGAACTGTATTTTTATGGCAACACATTTAAATCTGTAATACATGACATGCATAAAATCTTCTAGCTAGATGGCACCATATGTCAACCCACTTTATGTGAGTTACTATGTTTGAATTCTGTTGCTGCTATTGAGAGAGAAATGTGCTTCTCAGGATGTTTTTTAAAACAAATCTATAGTTTCTATAGCAAATGGGGAAAATTAAATACATTTGTTCTAAATGCACCCAAGGGTTTTAAGGAAACACTGAAAATTGATTTGGAATTTATTTTGTCCTCTAATAACTGCTGTATCAAAAATTGTATTGAAGCAGGATGTGAGCAATGGTAAGAAAAATCAGCTTTGTTCTGTTCTTCCACAAGATAGAAATATGTCAGTGAAAATGGATATTTGTCTAAATAACTGTGAAAATGGGGTTTTCCTGACAGCTATCATCAATATAATGCTTTAGCACAGCCATCTTCAGTGGCAGCAAAGGGAATGTTGAGAATGCATTGCACACATCTGCAAACATCTTGGTAAGCAGTGATTCAGCATGAAACAACTTTCCTCCACCATCTGTTTTGAGATACACAAGTATAGGTACAGAATGTACATGAAAATGTTAGGAATAAATTAAAAACACATTAAAAGCACAGAGGTTTTTTGTTTTGTTTTGTTTTTTTTAAAGGCACATAGTTCTTTCTTTGCTTTCTGGCAGATGAATTGCTATGGGAAGAGATTAATGCAGACAAGACCTGAGCAGCTGACCAGCAGAAATAACCTGATTTCTATACCCTACATTTCGGAGTGAATTGTTGGTCTTTTCCATGCCACTCCTTTTTGAGTTTGTTGTATTTTTT